AAGTGCATACACTTAGTCTTAGTAGTCGAAAATTTGAAGCCATTCTTTAGGCTCCACTCAGTTAGCCGAATCAGGCATAACTGAAGCTGCCTCTCAGCAGACGTCGTTGTGGATGCTGCACACCAGATGGCAAAGTCGTCCACAAACAGTGACCGACTAATGGTAGGTGGCAGACAGTCGGCGACATCATCGATCATCAGCGCAAACAGGGTTACGCTAAGGACGCTCCCTTGAGGAACACCGTTCACTTGTTCATAGCGATCAAATAGCATGCCACCCACTCGGACGCGGAAAAATCGACGACGTAAAAAGCTTTCGGTGAAGAGTGCCATGTGACCTCGGAGTCCACACTTGTGTACTTTGCTTAGAATGCCACAGCGCCAGGTGGTATCATAAGCCCGCTCAATGTCAAAGAAGACTGCCATCGTGTGACGTCTTTGCTTAAAAGAATGCCGTATGGCTGTGTGTAAGATCGTTAAGTGGTTAACAGCGCATCGGTTCTTCCGAAACCTGCATTGCACTTTGGAAAGACTGCCGTAAGTTTCAATATACCGCATGAGACGATCATTCACCATCCTCTCTAGCACTTTGCACAGGGCTGAAGTAAGCGAAATTGGGCGGTAGTGCAGTGGGTCGGAGCCATCATTTCCGGGCTTCTGTATCGGGACTATAATGGCCTCCCACCACGACTCCGGGAAGTCATCTTGCAACCATATGTAGTTGAAAAGTTCAAGTAAGGCATTGAGGGACTCCTGCTTTAGGTGGTTTAACATATCATTGTGGACTTCATCCATTCCAGGCGACACACTCTTAGCTCTCTTTAGAGCAGTGCAGAGCGCCATGACGGTGAATGGTTTGTTGTACCCATAACTCTCTGAGTCAGGAATTCTAAAATTGATTGCCGTCTTCTCACTTTGTTCCTTGTAACGAATAAAGCGTGGGTCGTCTGTTCCATGTCGGCACCTTTCTGCCAATGCGAGACCTATTTTGTTGGAAACTTCCTGTGTGTTCAATATCGTGGTTCCCGCCACTTTCAGCACCGGAACTGCAGTGGAGACGCTCCTACCGGAAATGCGACTAACCCGCTGCCACGCTGCACTCAGTGGGGTGTGACGATTTAAACCATTTACGTATTCCCTCCATGATGCACACTTTGCCTCGCCTATGGTGCGTTTCGCCAATGCTCTGGCCTTTTTAAAAGCGATGAGGTTGTTGGTCGTTGCAGACCGCTTAAAAACCCTGAACGCCTGCTTCCGCTTAAGAATTGCCGCTTTGCAGTCCTCTGACCACCAGGGAACAGGGATCCTGCGCGGCTCAGGTGATGTCAAGGGAATGCAAGACCTTGCATTGTCGACAATTGTGGATGTCACTTGCTGTGTAAGAGACGTTGCATTGTCGTTCTCGGTCGGCTGGACTCTAATATGGCACTCGTCAGTAAACCTTTGCCAGTTAGCACGTCGAAGGTTCCAGCAGGAAGGCCTCCTGCCTGGGTGTCCAGCATTCATCCCAAGCCATATTGGGAAATGGTCGCTCCCAAATGTAGTGCTCTCAACGAACCAAGACAACCGACAGAAAAGGGACGAGGAGCAGATAGAAAGATCTATCGCTGAAGTAGTGCTGGACGGCAGAGATATATGGGTATGCCGGCCGGTGTTAACAACACGAAAATTATTTGTATTCAGCAAACGCTCAAGATGTCGGCCTCGGTGGCTTGTGTGACTGCAGCCCCACGAAGAGCTATGGGAGTTGAAGTCACCTAGCAACAAGAACGGCGATGGAAGCTGATCGAAGAGGACTGTAGTATCGAATCCGGTACTTCCTCAGCAGGAGGGAGGTAGATAGAACAGACAGTCAGCCTCAGCGACCCAAGGTCGACGACGACAGCAGCAGCTTGTAGGTCAGTGTTAAGACTTACAGGAGAACACGGTATACTGTGATGAACTAAAACCGCCACCCCACCATGGGCGATCGTGTCAGTTCTCACGTCCTTCCGAAAGATGCTGTAACATTTGATGTTAAGGTGAGTGTCATCAGATACCTTTGTTTCTTGTAAGCATGCCACAACCGGGTTACGATTAGATAAGAATGTGTATAGGTCCGACATGTTGGCCCTCAAGCCACGCATGTTCCATTGTAAAAACGTCAGTGGCATGCTAGGTATGCTTGTATGTGGGGTGTTCGGTCAAGATCCATCGGTATCGCTTACATCTGCTTTAAGCGTTCACCGAGGATTTTGCACTAAACAAATCTCCCTGGCGACGCTCTACTTCAGTGGAGGCAAGCCGGACCCTTGGCCGAGCTTTGGGACTTCCATCCTCCGTAGGCGACGTCGGCCAAGGAGGGGCACGCTTTGTTGCACGACCTGCCACCGGGGACTGCAGGGTAGGCCGACCCGAAACCCCGTCTCCGGGTGGAGAAATGGGAGGCGGACCCATTGACCCTCCCGGTGAGTGGGGCGGAGTCGACAGCGGGAGCCGGCCCCTCGTCCGCTGTGCAAACACCGACCTGGCGGCGCGCCCCGCAGGTCCAAGGTCCAGAGAACCCGGACGAACAACAGTTTCAGAAGGGCGGCTCCGGGAGGGAGCGACGACTGGGGGATGCCGAACCATGTCCGGCTCCCGTGAGTCGGGGGGACCGGCGCTCCCGGCAGGGCCACTAGCTGGGGAGCCAGAGGGGGTCAGCTCTCGTAGCGCCCCTGTACCAGCGACGACAGATCCCGTCGTAGCTGGTATGGATGGAGGGGGAGATGGAGCCCGGGAGGGCGTGTCTTCAGCACGGGCTGGGCCGGGGTGCGATGATGGGGGGCGAAGTCCACGACCTCGCTGGACTGTGGTCCATCCCCCGTTCTCGGGTCGCAACCCAGCCCCGGGCTCTCTGGCAGTTCCACCAGGGGGTTCCAACCCCATAGGATGAGCTTCTCTAGCGGCGGCCAATGCCGCAGGTGGATTCTTTTCCGGAGGATCCGACTTCCGGTACGACGGAACAGCAGAGCCAGTTGATACAAGTGCGCTAAGTATCAGCTGTACAAACTCGCCTACAGTCATGCCTTTGAAATCATCAAGTCCACTCAGTTTCAGTACCTCGTTGGCTGCGGGTGTCACTAGGGCTAAATTTCTTGCCGGATTAGCAAGGGCGTTTTTGTATGTCCTTGTGGTGGTCGCATCGTTGTGTCGGCGTTGGGCCTCCCGGAACGAGACTCCTTCCTTCACACTGATGTTCAGGACAGCTTTCTCTGACGAGAAGGACTGACAGCTGCAACATGACGCCACGTGACCCTGACAACAGTTGACGCATTTCACGGTTTCTGATTTACACTCAGTGTTGGTGACCTATTTCCGCACACCTTCCGCCTCTAACTTCTTTCCAGCACTTGTCCGTGAAGTGACCATACGTCTGGCATCGGTAGCACCGGACTGGATCGGGCACATAGACCCTAACAGGAACCGACTGATATCCCACGCGGACCCTATCTGGCACTTGCAGAGCAAAACGTCAAAATAATCGAATCAGTATCGGTCAGCTCTCCTCTCTCTCTCCTCTTGATACGACTCACCGCCGTTACCCCTTCCTCACACAAGCCCTCAGCAATATCCTCATCACTCACACCGCGAAGGTCCCGGCAAGTAATCACACCCTTGGAGTAGTTCTTAGAGGGGTGAGGGTGCACCGATACGGGCACCCTGACCGATACGAATACGATCCGCATACGAAAAGACATTCTTGGGTGTCCCGATCTTTGAAAATGCTTGTTGGCGCTGAAATGGGTCCAGTCGAAGCGGTACTGTTCATCCTTGGTCACCTATTTTGGCGGATCTTACTACCAGAAACTGGGGTAGTGGCACAGGACGACGGTCGGGGTTGGGGGGTTGGTTGATGATAAAGTGTCCAAAGTACGTGTTTATATTCGGCGCGCTGATTCCTCGCCCACCATGGAGCCCAACACGGGACGGTCCACTTCTAAGAGAGGAGCCGCCAGGGGTACCAGCACGCTATACGCAGACCAGTGTGCCAACCGAGTTGATGCGAGAGCCACCGGGCACGAGTCTGTGGGCACCAGTGCCTCGGTTCGCAGGTGCTAACCAGGCACCCTGGTAACAAACCGAGGTACGGCCCCTTAATGATGTCAGGAGGCAGACACTGCACCCGGCAGCTCCCCCCTCAACACCCGTCACATGACCTGCTTGTCTCCAAGCCAGTGTCACGAAAACACGACACCTGACCAGCCGATTTCCTCGTGTGGAGACTTCACGAGGGATCCGCAGGATCACAAATTCGGGCCAAAGCCACGTATTGGTAAGCTGCCCCGACTGACCTGCAGGGCAACTCCCTCAGTGACTAGGATCCCTTCATCGCTACCTGCGGATCCAACAGCGTACGGCGAGACCCAGATAAGACTGAAAAGCTGGGGCCGAGGGGTTGCTAATCCTTACTCTGAACGAGTCAGAGCCCTTACAGGAGGCACGTTTCGTCTGGCCCCTCCTCTTTGGCCGGAAGGGGCGCTTTACAAGCCTCCCCAACCGCCCGCAGGATCATTGGGGCACGCAATCCCCCCCCCCCCACCCACCACGGAAAGGTGGTGCCTCACGGGGGGGGGGGATGTGGAATGCATGCGATCACTTCAGTACACCATTAATTAGTAAGTACATTCCGGCTGTCTGTGTAAGGTGTCAACACCACTATTCATATGTACGCTGCAGGCACTAAATGTCACAAACTAATGTCCATACTCCGTTTAGAGACAGCACAAACTAATAACGGCACCGCTCCTAAATTCAAGACGCGGCCAGACTGGAAAAGACTTGCAAGCCACTTCCTCCAAACATCATTTGCAAGTTCATGCAAATCTGCCATCAGCAAAACTTCAGCGTGCCTTGTATGTGTGCCGCTGTCGCGCTCAGCCGAGCGTCTCCGCTTCCTTGAGCGCCCAGCCGCCGGGCCCTGGCGGCTCTGCCCACCCGGCGACGGAGGACCCCCGGCTCAAAGTCCCGCGAGTGGCCCGGCACGACTGCTCGGTGTGTTTTATTGGCCGCGAGACAGAGAGACGAAGAGTAATGCCAGCCACCAGCGCGGCCGTCCGCCCGACCGTCAACCATCCAGCACATCAGGCGTCACATAAAACACGACTAAAACACACTATTTACACCGCTCTCACGGGGACCCTGAGCGCTCTCACGCTCCCGCCGAGGGACATGGCGACCGCGCAGGGAAGCAGGGGGCTCCGGTGGAAGGAGCACGACCAGAAAACCACCGGAGCTAGTGCGATCTGGGGTCATGACAGGAGGAAACAGAAATAACCACACGAAAGGAGGAGTGGGCCAATCTGGCCCCGGCAGAGGTCACAAACTGTCAGCCATCAGCGCCACTCCAGCACACGGTGCGTCGCTGGACGGCGACGGAGCCTGGGGCGACGCGCACCGCGCAAGGAACGGTCCTTCGCCAGGAACGGTCCCGCGTTGGAGAGGTCGACGTGCCTGGCGGCCGACCTCTGCAGAGGACTGGCAGTCCCCGCGGCACTGGCTCCCGGACCGGCGAGGGGGTGGCGGCCATGGCATCCAGATGGCGCAAGGAGCGGGAGTATGCCCGTGGCTACACGCACACATGCATGGCAAGACCGGCTGCCACGGAACAGATCTCCGTAATCATACACACTGGACGGCAAGCTTGCTTAACGCAAGAGCGGGGACAGGGCTTACGTAAGAAAATGACTACCTATAGGCATGAAACAGACAAGACGCGTACACGGGAATAACATCTTGACTCTGCAATGTCACGCAAATTTATGGCTCGCTGCGAAACATTGAGCATATCGAGAACACTTCATGGCATAGCAAAGGCCCCAGTGACTGCTGAAATAAATGCTTCGACCGCCAGTTAAGGCCTCGGTAAAATGCTTCCCTGCACGGCCCTTCGCACCTCGTAAATGCTCTTTAACGGCGTCTCAAAGAGCATTTTTCAAAAGCGGTTTATTCGCCGCTCAGTGATTGGCCCCTGACGAAAAACACTGTCCGCGCGATTGGACACCGCTGACGTCATTCTGTTGATTGGACGCGACTGAAGTTAGTTGGCTCCGACTTGGCCGGCGGCAGGGCTTTGATGTGCTACACGGCGGTCTGCTGGCCGGCCAGCTTGAGCACCTGCTCGCATATCCTCTTGTAGCACCAGGCGTCACCCTCCAGACGCTTCCGCCGAATGCCTGCCGAAAGGGCGAAGAGGGGGAGGGGAAGGGAACAGGGATGTCAGCAGGAGCCGTGCTCGTGGAGACAACACACTCAAACACACACGCACAAACACAGACACATCTCCACGCCGAAGCGCGGAATAACATGGTGGCGGGGGTGCAGTGAAAGTGGTCCAAGTTGCCACTCTGGTTGAAAGCTTGGGAACAACGCGAACAGGCAACCAAAGAGCGACGTTCGACGGCAGGCGTCACAGAAGACAGAACAACGCGGATACGGCTAGGCGCTGGGATGGCCAATTGTGTGATACAATGTACGGCAGTCATCCGGCCATCCGAGCGCCATGCGGGAAATATGAGAGCTAAATGTTGGGCAGTGCGACTCCTCAGTGAATAACTACGCTTGGTAAGAGCAAAAACGCATGCCCTGTAGACAGCAATCGTCGCGGTGCTAGTTGTCGCGCAACACCACAGCCATCCGTCCGATGCATGCAGGTCGGAAGCCTCAGCAGAGCAGGGGACGGATAACTCACCCACGACATTGAGGCTGCCGATCATGCAGACCTCCAGCTCGAAGGAGAGCTTCGCCTTTCCCAATGGATCGGCCACCTTGCCCCTGAGAGTGTACCTGCAGCGAATGGCCAGGTCAAATCAAGCCGCAGTGACCCGAGACGCGCCTGTGATAGGGAGCCAGGGGCCGACACGTAGCTAATGACCGAGACGGGGGTCGCCACCATCGACACCAGATACCCTTATGAACTGAGGAGGGGGGCCAGATCCTTAACCCCCCCCCCCCTTTTGTTCCACGTAACACTCTAGAGGTAATGCCGATCTCAAAACCTGGGGGAAGCAATTGGTCAGTTGCCCCCCCCCCCCTCATCTCACCGTCCACGCGCGCATTGGGAAGCCGGGGTGATGTCAGAGCATGCATGCATGCAAAGTCGGCCCCAAACCCAATGGCAGTACCAATACAGACACGTCTTGTCGCGTCCCGCAGAAACAAAAACGTTGTAAAGAGTCTCATTAGTCTTGTGGCAGTGCAAAACGTGACGTCTTTTATCTCTGTACAAGCACGACAACGGAGCTATCACAACGGACATTTTCTACCTCCCAGCTTGTTAGCGGTTCCTAGAACCTCGGACGCCGCCGTCAAGGCGCAGCAGCCAGCCCCGAGGACGATAAAGTCTCGAGTCCGGACCCACCACAGGCACCGCCATGCACAACGGCGGTCACAGCGCCTCAGCCGCCGTCGGGGAATCAGTCATTACGATCAGCAGGCGGGCCGCCAGCGCAGATAACTCACGGAGAGACACTGGAGCCGGCACGTGACTTATGGCCGCTGGCGTCGCCGCCTGGCGTAATGCGCGATCAAGCTATCACGGCCGACGAATCCCCGACGCGGAGGTGCTCTCGGCCAACGGTCACGTGCAAAAGGGGCTCGGGCTCCCCGCTGAGTGACGGACGATGACGCGTGTCCCCCCGCAGCGAGACTAAACGACCGACAGCTATCGCGATGGGTTGGGGAAATACGCCGAGATGTTACGTGACGCCGCCTCTCCCCCGTGGGGGTAACAGGTACCGAGCGCAACGAACGCAAGCTCGAACCCCCGCCAGACGCGGAGGAGTGATAACATCAGCTAAAATTTCGAACAAATGTCTGTGCGTTCAAAAGCTCTCGAACCTTAAAATGACAGCGTGCAGTCACACTGTGCGCTACCCGCCAACGCGTAACTATAGTCACCAGCAAATAACTACGGGGAAGAGTCAAACATTATCAGAACTAGGCTTTACCTCATCTCATCGACGTCGAGTGAACATAATTATTCCAGCGTTCCCTTTCCTCAAAGAAGACGACCAATAGCTGTACGAGCGAGAGAGCGGCATGGTCCGCCCGCTATTCGGGAAATTCTGATAACGGCTTGATACGATGTTGTTTGGAAATCACCCCACTAACAACAGCGCCTGCCCTTTCCTAAACCTGCTTCGTCTAAAGCTGCTCAGACCACCCATTGGTCTGTTAGGTGCTGCCTCCTCCCCCCTCCCCCCACCCTCGATAGCGCGTCTGGCCGTTCAGCTGCGGCCGACCTGGCGGCGGCGCACGCACCCCTTCTGTTTGAGGATGATGCCGCGGCTCCACAGCTCGCGCTGCAGGTCGATCAACACCTGGTCCGGGTCCCGGCTGCCCGTCGCCGACACGTTTAGCATCTTCTGTAACACGAACACCAAGGCGGCATGGTTACTGCACGCTCAGAGAGTCTGCGATGCAACCAACGGTGGGGCCGGCTATAAAATATCAAAACTGTCTGCGCTCCGCATATCAGCGCGGCGCAGCAGCCAGCAGTTCGCGCGTTACGGTCCTCCTGCAACACAACAGGATAAAGGGGTTGTTCCGCGTTCGGGGTTTTCTGTAACATACGACACATACTTCCATGCAACACAATCGACTCGTCAGCGTGGCCATTACACCGCCAGAATCATCTGATACACGGCCAGCAGAATGATGCAGTTTACCAAAGCTCAGCATTTTTCGCAGGCAAACAGCACACCGCTGTTCACGCCATACGTTCAGCGTTTTCTGCATGAAAAACAACGCGCGAGTGTGGCTGTCTTTTGTTGACCTGAACTGACCTTAACTTAGGGGTCTACGTGATACACGATTTTTAACCAACCATTTTTAAGTAGCTCGGTGCTGCACCGACGGCTGATTTGCCAGGCCGGCCAAATCAGGTAACAGCACAATGTCTGCCGTCAACGTGACTTTTAATACGTGGTGCAGAGAGCAAAGCATACCGTCCGAGCCCGAAGCCATCAGCTTCCAATGTGTATTGTGGGAGTCGAACTGAGGTGACCACGACCTCCCATGCAGTTTTTTTTTAAGACGACACAGCTCTTTCAATGGTCAAAACATTGCACATGCAATCAGTCAAATGAGACTGGGGTTTCCTGCTACATTGCAATGTTACAAGATGTTTACCCGGTGTTGCAATGCACATCTTGTCAAGCACTTGTCGCGGAACACGAGTTCCTGCTCAATCGCTGTGCACATATATTTAATTGAAAACAAGGCCATAGGTCAGTGGCCCTAAGTATAAGACCACGGATAGCTTGTTTTAGAACACCCATTAAAACCCAAGGCAAGCGAAATCCAATCAGAATTTGAAAATCAGGACACCTCGAACGGCTTTTGAATGTTGCCCTGACCCCAGTCGGGACAAGTCGGGATTTTTACAACCAACGGTAAATTCCCCCTGAATATGGCGGCGATCTGGCCGCCCACGCGCAAATGAGCGACGCCATTGCTCCAAGGACAGCCGGCGTCTGCAATAGCGATTACTGATCGCCCTCGCCCGGGGAAGCTTTTTCGGTTCGGGTTTCGAGGAGACGATCCCGCCATAGAGGGGCTGCTACTGCATTCCAGGTAGCCAGCTAGTTTCGGCCCTGAAATGTACTACCGCACCGAGTCCGTGGGTTTAGAGTAGCTGGCATGAAAGTTTTTATGAAGCTGGACGGTTGTTGTGGACACGGGCATGAGTGGGAGGGCTTGATAAGTGATCATGGGTTGGCTCCTGCTCCATTGCTGAAGAGCATTTGCATGCCATGCCTGATGTGAAATGCCTACAACTGAGTCACAGTCACAGTTCAAAACTCGGCTAGCTGTTCATCAGTCAGCACTCCCATGAGTGCCTTTTCATGTCTGGTATGCAACTGCTTCTCAAAGCACACCTATCTGGGCAATACCAGCAGAATTGCGACACATTACCAGCTTAACGGTCATGAGTATTGTGATGATGTCATTGAGCCTGAGATAGAAGTGCACTGCCTGACCACCAGAACAAATGCTCTGCAACAGGTCAAGTTTGTGTTTGTGATTTACATAGTCAAATGGGCCTACAGACTGTTGATATATGGGAAGCTATGGCTTGGCTTCTTAGCTGTGCTAAGAAGCCTGGGAGCTAAGCTGTGGTCTCCATTAGCAAGAAAACCCTCACATATTTTGCACTTAATAGTGCAGTAATTTTTGATGTAGCATGCATCCAGGCTGTCAGAGCCCCCATTTTATCCTAAACGCCAGTCAGTTTTGATTAAAGTGTTGGTGCGTACATGATTTGCATTTGCAAACCACTGTGATACATTAAAAGTTGCTCAGTTATAGGGGCTAGACAATTTGACACCATGCCTAACAACAATCATCCACTTTTGTAGGCAACAGTTTAGTGGCACCTTTGGAAAGCTGAGCTTCTGTCATCACTCACAGATGGCACTGCAGACAGACGGCTATAATGCGGACACAGAAGGCAGCAACAATTCGCCACTGCAGGTCGGCTCTGACGACGAGGCAGAGGACGGCAAGGACCCTGAGAGTGAGGCTCAAATATGACACCAGCCATTGCTACTGACAATCTAGTTACATATGGAACACTAAGGTTGATGTTCTTCAATAACGTGGTGCAAGCCGCACTTCATGTGCGAAATGAGACTGTGCATGCAGTACTGGATTTCCTTCAATGTCAAATTGCTCCCTCATGACATGCAACACTATATAATGAATGAATGTCCTGGATGTCCAGACTCAGCACTCAATGACATATCAGATGTTTGCTTGTTATCAATGATGACCAGGTCTGTGGTCAGCATTGTTGACTGGAAACCAAATATGAGGGTGCACGCCCCTCGCCGACCTGCACGCCCTTTGCTTTGCTGGAGGCCGTACTGACCGTGCTGTTGTCCCACTCGATAGTGGTACAGGTCGTGCTGCGCCGGGTGCAGCTGGACGGAGGGCCGCCGTTCCTGGCGCGCGACTACATGAGCGGCGACGAGTTCTCCGACTACTCGTTCCACATGTCCGGTGAGGGCGCGGGGTTGGGGGGTACCGGACTGCGGCGTTGTGCCGTCCGGGATGCCGGGGTCAAGCCGGCGCGGTGCCACGTGACCCGTCCAGGATGCCGGGGTCGAGCCGGCGCGGTGCCACGTGACCCGTCTGGGGTGCCGGGGTCGAGCCGGCGCGGTGCCATGTGACCCGTCTTGCCGCTGTGGATGGCATTTGGCGCGGTCGGCGCGCGCGAACAACTGCCACTCATCTCGCACGGTGATGTGTTGTGTCGAGTACGTGCTGGGCGGTTGCGGAGCACGTGTGGGCGTGGCAAGGTTTTAACCACGGCGATTTACTGACGATCGAAGTCGTTCGCGCCGTTTGCGTTTTCACTAATCGCTGAGTATTTCTCAGCAGCCACACTTTGTGGCCGGACCGGCCGACCATTTATCTCACGGCGCCTCGGCCTTCTGTCTCAGATACTCACAACCACAACGTCGTCGTTCTCAGATGATTCGGACGAGGACTACGGCGGCCCGAAGACGCCCAAGAAGCGGCGCAAGATCGTACGCCGCGTACAGTGCGACGAGTGCAAGCGCCGCTTCTCTACTCGCGCCTACATGCTGAAGCACAAGGCCGTGCACGCGGGCCAGTTCACCTGCACCGAGTGCGACAAGAGATGTGTGTCGGCCGGCTCGCTCAAGCTGCACATGCGCATACACGGCACGGAGAAGCCGTTCGCGTGCGACGAGTGCGGCGCCACGTTCGCCTTCCGCCTGCAGCTGGTCGGCCACGCCAACGAGCACACGGGCAACGTGCGGCCGTACGCGTGCGACGAGTGTGACCGCGCCTTCGCTTACCACCACGTGCTTGACCGGCACCGGCTCGTGCACCGCGAGCGCGCGTACGAGTGCGACTTTTGTGGCCACGGGTTCGCGAGCGCGGCGGCGCGGCGCGCTCACGTGGAGCGCGTGCACCGCGCCAAGCGCGCCGTCTCTCCCGGCGACGGCGGCCGCCGCTCGGCCCGCGAAACTGCGCGCGTCGACTACCGGGACGACGTCATCAACGTGGAGGCGGCCGCCGAGGAGCCGTACCGCGCGCGCAAGCCGCGCAAGGCGCTGGCCGAGGGCAAGGTGGCAGGCCGACTGCGGCAGCGCGAGGAGGCGGCGCAGCCGGGCGGGCCGCGCCAGGGCAGGGCTCCCCGGCGGCCCGTGTACACGGGCAGGGGAGGGCAGGCCAGCCGGGCGTCGAGCAGGCGCACGGCGGCCGTCGATTACGGCGGCGGCGCGTCCGACAGCGAGGAGAGCGAAGAGGAGGAGGAGGCGCAGAAGAGGAAGCCTGCCAGACGAGGCGGCGGCAGGGCCAGGGGACAGGCGGAGAATGGAAACAGAGAGAGTGAGGAGGAGGAGGCGATGCCGAAGAAAACTACCGCACGCAGCCGTGGCCAGGCTGCTAAAGAGCGGGTGGGGAACGGAGACGAGGGCCAGAAAGAGGCGCCTCCAAACAAGAAAACCCTGAGCGGACGAGGAGCCGGCGGGCGATCCTTGGAAGAGAAGGCATTGGAAAGCGGAGACGATGAGAGTGATGAAAAGGCTCATTCACCGGAGCGAACTTCTTCAGGAGGGGGCCTTGGCACAGTTCAAAAACTAGCCTGGGCGGAGCCTGACGACATTGGAGAGAGCGACGAGGAGGCGCCACCGCCGCAGAGCACGCAGGGCGGCCGCGGCCGGGCGGGGCGGACATCCAGGGGCCGGGCCAGCATCGCCGCCGCGGCCGACCAGGACGATAGTGTCGGGAGCGACGCGAAGTCTCCGCCGCCGACTTCGAAGCCGACCGCGCCGGGTCGCGGCCGCGGCCGGTCCGGACGAGGCGAAGCCGGGCAGAACGGCGACGACACCACGCCGCGGCGGGGCGGCGATCGGCGATCCGCCGCCGCGCCGCGGCAGAACGGCGACTCGTGGCGGGAGAGCACCCCGGCCGTCTCTGCGAAGCCGACCCCGCGCGGACGGCCGCGGGCGGCGGCTGCAGCTGAGATACCGCGCGCCCGCCGGAGCGGCACGGTCGTCCACTACACCGCACCGGGCAGCGACGAGGACGACGACGAGGAGCCGCGCCGGCGCGGCCGGGCGCGCGGCTCGGTAGACAGCGATGACAGCAGCGAGGACGCCGGGCCGGCGGCGTTGCGGCGCGCGGCCACGCGCGGCAAGCGCGCGCCGGCCGGCGACCACACCGAGTCGCACGTGCCGCCCAAGAAGCGACTGCGGGGCAGGCAGTGAGCGCCGCAAGGCGGCAGAAGGCTAGAAGGCGGCGGTAGGCCGGAACAGGCGCCGGTAATCGTTGGTGGTGTATTATACTGCAAAGGACGGTTCTGATTGTCCGGATGGAGGAGTTCGGGTAACTCAGTGGCGGCCGCCGCCGAGCGAGTGCAATGCCGCACAATCCAACTGCCAGCGCGCGTCGTCGTGAACAGCGAGCGACGGACGCGAAATTTCGCGGTGGCGGCGGACGCGGCGACCACCGATGCAGGGTTCGCGATGCAGGCGACAGCAGCACACAGGCCGAAGGCACGCAGCGTTATCAGAGCGCGCGGCTGACGTATGGTCGGCACGAGGTCAGGTCAAGTTTGGTCAGTTCTCGGCAGGGTCATCTCGCGTCGGGCGAACAGCGAGACGGTAGGGCGTATGCGGGCAGTGTGAGCGCGAGATCAACGAATGGCTGGGAAACTTGTGCTGGCAGTGTGAGGGCGAGGTCATCAGATGGCTGAAAAGCTTGTGCGGGCGATGCGAGGGCGAGTCATCAGATGGTTGAGGCGCTTGGGTGGGCGGTGTAAACGCGAGGTTATCGGAGGAACAGGCGTGTGCCTGTCGGCCGCCTCCCCCAAAACCCGCGGACACGTGACGACGTGCCGACAAACCACGTCGTTGATGGTTCGAACAGTGTGTGTATGGGGCGTACGAACGGCGTTCTCTCGCACAGGGGAGTTCAGCGGCCGCACCCAAGTGAGGTGCGGTGCGCCTGCTCTTGTATATGTGACGTTTTTCCAGGGTCCTGGCCATTTGTGAACTATGTACAACGCGGTCTGAATGTCGTGTGACGTGACTTTCTCTGCGAAGGTGAGAGTTTTTAAATATGTCGGAGAGGCAAGTGTCGTCAGTTCTCACACAAGTTGGGCTAACCTGTGTCGGATGCATTTCTCATTGAAGCGTGGTGGGCTGCGGTGATTGCGGATCGTGTCGTGAAATAAAGAGCTGGCTTAACCCGCGTTTTCACGTCATTGTAAGCAGAGTGGCAGATGTCAGCAATAACAGGCGATGTGTAGGGCCGTGCGCCTAAACGGCTTGGCTTGGTACGGCGGCACACAAACGACGAAATACAAAATTGCTCCGTCCTGATAGCTGAGTTGGTTAGAGCAGCTGCCTTCCGATCCACCCACCCGTGGCGGGGTGAGTTCGAGTCGCTTCAGGCGCCCGCTGTCTGGCCTTGATAGGCGTGGCCTGCGACCGGTGGCAGCGGCCGCGATGAAGGTCAGAAGACGTCAGGGGGCAGGACGGACCGTGCCGAGCGTGCGGCACGTCAGTCTTTCGCACCAAATTCTGCCGTTGGCATAGAATTGGGCAATCGGATGGTAGAGGTCAGGGCTGACACAGCGAATACCACTTAGGGTGGGCTCTGGTTCCATAAATACACCCATTTAAAATGTTCGAATTAAATCTTGAAAACAAATATGATCAAAATTTACTTACGTGATTTCCATAAACACTTATGTTAAGATGGCGTGGGGTCTGGTAAGAATATGTAAATATATTTTACTCTATTTACCCTACATATCTGTTGTACAATGTAGGGAATCGCGCGCTTCACAAGGTCTTATGAACTTTATAATATATATATATATATATATATATATATATATATATATATATATATATATGTCATATAGTTCGGCAGGTCAGGTTTAACAGTTTGTACGCATGAAAAGTGACTTCAAAGTTCTCATGTTGTATAAACGACCTTCAAGTTGCCAGGAACCGGTTAAACGACATCGCGCTACGACATGACGATTAAATTGACGGTGCTCAGTACAGTCGTTGTCTGACACCACGACGTCGTTTAAACCCATACCTCCTGGTTATTGAAGTTCGTTAACTCAACATAAGAGCTTCGCACTCATAATCCCGAAAATGGAGCTGAGGGCCTTTCTTTCTCATAACAAGAATATTAAAAGCATACATTAGTGCAGTAGGCCCAGCCACGTGGTCAGCAAAAACGTTTATCTTAAATGCAACCACACAGTCATAGCGTCACCATCAGAACAGCACCTTGCAGGTAAAAAAACTTCAGACTGCCAAAAAATGCCCGGACAGATTACAGCTGGGCGTCGCCCTGCAGTTCCAACAAGCTCGGTTGCCCACAATGACAGACGCCGCCACTCTTCGGTAACATTCGGCGTGCCTAGGCCACAGGGCCCAACCCATGCCACGTGCGGGGAGTGACTACCAGACCATCCCACGTGCCGCCGCCCAGGCGGCCGGCAGAGCCCTGACCTTGGTGTCGATAAGGGCCGGCTTGTCGGCGGTCGTCGCGGCCCGCTTCCTCGGCGTCAGCATGTTCTTCATCTTGTCGAGGCCCTTCTCAATGGAGCCGAACACGCGGCGGCCGGAGAGCGGCGTCCGCGGCACGGGCAGCTTGCAGTCGGGCGTGCGGAAGTTCTCCGACTGAGGCCGGGGCCGGCTGCCGGGCGCAGGTGAGCCGTCAGGTGAGGTAAGTCGTCAGGTGAGGTAAGTCGTCAGGTGAGGTAAGTCGTCAGGTGAGGTAAGTCGTCAGGTGAGGTAAGTCGTCGGGTGAGGTGAGCCGTCAGGTGAGGTGAGCCTTCAGGTGGGGTGAGCCGTGAGGTGAGGTGAACCGTCAGGTGGGGTGAGCCGTCAGGTGGGGTGAGCCGTCAGGTGAGGTGAGCTGTCAGGTGAGGCGAGCCGTGAGGTGAGGTAAGTCGTCAGGTGAGGTAAGTCGTCAGGTGAGGTAAGTCGTCGGGTGAGGTGAGCCGTCAGGTGAGGTGAGCCGTCAGGTGAGGTAAGTCGTCACGTGGGGTGAGCTGTCAGGTGAGCTGGCCGTCAGGTGGGTCAGTCTAGGCTTGTTATACGCGAGTGAGGGGGGGGGGGGCGTCCAGCAGATAATAAGAATAATCAGGGGATTACCGCTGTCAAAGCGCATTAACCATACTTAATTTCCGAGCGATTACCCAATGAAGCGATGGTTTTGTATAGGCACCCAGAGCCCCAACGAGTGCGATATGCGTACAAAAGTGCAGGAGTGAATACGAAACGGGCGGTAATATCCTTTGGTTAGGTTCAGATCTTGACGCACTGCGCATCACTTCAACTGTGTAAAATATTGGTAGATGACACTCGAATCAACGACGACGACGATGATGATGAGGTAGTCGACTTAGCTTGCCACTGCGTAAATACATTACGGATGGCCACCCGAATACGTGCACACGCCGACAACAGGGTGCTGGTGACGTCACGGATGGGGTACCGTCCAGCGGCGAACATCGCAACACTGCCCCGCTGATGATCAGCCCCAGACGCGACCGCCAGCTGAGCAGGACAGCACACACGGCGGCCTGTGAGCCCGGGGATCATGAGCGGTGCCGGGGCAGCGGCGCCGGCACGCACCTCCGCTGCGGCGTCTTAAAGGTCGGGTCCAGGGCAGACTCGACGGAGCGCGACGGCGACAGCTTGCACGGCGTCTCTGCCAGCAGAACAGACCGTCAGGAGACTGGAGATGGCTTCAGGACCACTGCTTACGGTAATACACCACGGAGCAGCGTGGCAAATAACACGGCACATAGGTTACAGGCAGCATTGCAATATCGACAGGGAATGAAAAAGAGAGTTGATTCAATTCAGAGCGCGCCAGTCCCGAGCCCGCTCGCTGACGATGGCACAGGCACCCGGTCAGCCAGGGTAAAAAGCGAATGAGCATGAGTAAAACATCACAGAGCTATTTCGTACCTCTTATACCGCCAGAGGTCAACCACAAAGTAAAGACACACACAATAGCTCCCGCTCTCACCGCAAACAGGGCCTTCATTCAGATGGTGCGGTTACCGGGCAAGACCCCCTGTTGAGTTCTCACGCTCCATCCCAGCACAGCGTCGCACCTCTGACCCCCCCCCCCCCCGCCCCCTAGCGCCATGGTCTCCATCTCCTCTCCATCTCCCACCTCCGGCGCGGCGCTTGCTCTTCTTGCTGGGGGAGGGCGCCTTGGGCAGCAGGAAGTTCTCCTTGTCGTCGGCGGCCGCCGGCTTTGGCGGCGTGGCCCGCTTGCGTCGCTGGCTGCCCCGGCTCCGCTGCGAGCTGCGAGCCGTGCACCGCTCCAGCAGCGGCTCCTCCATCTCTGCCAAGGTCACAACAGAGGTCAGTCAGACTCCAGCAGCTGCTCCTCCATCTCTGCCGGGGTCACAACAGAGGCCAGTCAGGCTCCAGCAGCGGCTCCTCCATCTCTGCCGAGGTCACAACCGGGGTCAGTCAGGCTCCAGCAGCGGCTCCTTCAGCTCTAACGAGGTCACAACCGGGGTCAGTCAGGCTCCAGCAGGGGCTCCTTCAGCTCTAACGAGGTCAGAGGTAGGTTAGCTGGACCTCGGAGGATCCTCCAGGTTCGGAGGTCGCCGCAGATGAGATAAGTCAGACTCCAGCCTAAATATGAGCTGTAAAAACATCCGCAGCTCAGCTGTGCTGCCCTGAATGGCCGCAGTAACCAGTAAGCCGTGCAATGAATTAGCCCCATGCGACCCAAAATGGCAAGGAACGTGCTTGCTTCAACCCGACCACCAGTCAGTCATACAGAACCCATATCTAGGATTATCCGCAGAGGGTTAGTGGCGCAATACGCCCATCTGAAGCTTCCACAACATAAGTGTCCAGCACCTAAAACGCCCACTCAATGACGGGGCAGTGGACGCTCGGTCACCTAGTGTGCGTCTTTCTCTCTCTCTCTCTCTCTCTCTCTCTCTCTCTCTCCTCTCTCTCTTCTCTCCTCTCTCTTCTCCTCTCTCCCTCTCTCTCACTATCCCTCTCTCCCACTCCCCCCTCTCCCCTCTCCTCTCCCGACCTCTCACCCCTCGCCCTCGGCTCCCTCTCGCTCGCGCTCTACCTCTCTCCTCTCTCCTCTTCAGCTCTCTCTCTCCTCTCCGTCTCCGCTCTCTATCTCTCCTCTCTTCCTCTCTCTACTCTCCTCCCTCCTTCTCTCTCTCTCCTCTCTCTCTTCTCTCATCTCTCTCTTCTCATCTCGCTCTCCTATCCTCTCTCTCTCCCTCTCTCTCTCTCTCTCTCTCTCTATATCTCTTCTCTCTCTCTCATGTTTTACATTCTCGTCGATCGTTCTCCCGCCTTCCGATTTCTCCCCTCATGCCTCTATCGTCTGTCCCGCCTTCCGATTTTCCCCCATGTGCTCTCCAGGTCTCCATCCCTGCCACCACCACCACTCCCCCCCCCCCCCCCCCCCTCTCCCTCCGCGGGCGTCCATCGGCCTCTCACCGATGGGCCTGAGCAGCGCTTCCATGGCGGCCTCCTCCTCCTCTCGTTCGCGGCTAGCCGCCAGCTCCAGCTCCCGGCCGCGGCGCTGGTCGAGCGCGTCCAGCGCCGTGTCCAGGCTCTGCGGCCGGCCGTGCGGCGAGTCGCCCAGCGGCACGAGCGCCGGCAGCGGCGTGTTGGTCAGCTCCGACAGCTGGGCCCGACCCGGCGCCGGCGGCATCTGCGGCGCATGCCAGTGATGGTCAGCGGGGCACCGCCGGCAGGGCACAGCACGTGCAGCTCCGCCGACACGCGGCACCAGCGTGGATGGGCGCCGGGCGGAGGCATGCCAGGGAAAACGTGACACTGGGTTGGATGGGCTCAATGCAGGGACCACAAACTGCCAGGGGGATCGACTACCGTGGGGGGGGGGGGGGCATGATATCTCACCTCGAAAGGACCTCCTCCTCTGTGTCAAGGCCTTGGTTCGTTGGCACACACGATCAGACCAATCAAACGATCTATTCTTCTCCGGACACGTGCGCACCGCGCCGACTTGGCGCATCCACACTCACACCCACACACACACACTGACAAGGTTGCCGTAATCGGTAGGTCGAACGGCAGGATGGGCTACCTACACGTGACGTCACTAAACCCGAGAGCGAACACCACACTCTGTGGGACCTCCTTGGCGGGACCTCCTATATGGGCAACCTCCTCGATGGGACCCGCTCTTCGACGGAACCCGCTCCTCGATGGGACCTCCTCCTCTACCCTCCAAGCCAGTCCTGTCCCCTCCACACTTGACCAAGAGTTCCGCCCGTTCTCTCTCCAGCTGGCCCGGGCGGTCCGTCCCCAGTCTGACCTGTGCCGGCGCCAGTCTGACGGGCTCGCCGCGCCGCTTCGCCGTCAGCAGCAGCCAGTAGGTGGCGGTGCAGTCGTCGTAGGCCCACTGGGCGAGCCGGCGCGCCATCCAGCCACGGCTGCGGCCGGCGCTCACCGCCATCGTCGTCACCACGTCATCATCCGGCTGTCGCGACTGACGACACGTCATCATGACGTCAGCATGACGCCATCAAGACGTCGGCATCAACCACAAGAATTTGCAGTGGGTGACATCGGATGATGGTATGACTCCAGTCGAAACCATCGCACGGCCAAACGACTGCAGGCATGCTACCATTCAATCAATAGTACACGAACAGACCATGGCCAACGTGGCTGCAGGAGGTGTGACCATGACGTCACTGGCATATCACGACCACCGACGCTGCTCGGCTGGCGTCCCAACGTCAGAAACACTGACGACCGACGATGCTCGGCTGGCGTCCCAACATCAGAAACACTGACGACCGACGCTGCTCGGCTGGCGTCCCAACATCAGAAACACTGACGACCGACGCTGCTCGGCTGGCGTCCCAACGTCAGAAACACTGACCACCGACACTGCTCGGCTGGCGTCCCAACGTCAGAAACACTGACGACCGACGCCGCTCGGCTGGCGTCCCAACGTCAGAAACACTGACCACCGACACTGCTCGGCTGGCGTCCCAACGTCAGAAACACTGACGACCGACGCCGCTCGGCCGGCGTCCCAACGTCAGAAACACCCACGAACGACGCTTCTCGGCTGGCGTCCCAACGTCAGAAACACTGACGACCGACGCTGCTCGGCTGGCGTCCCAACGACAGAAACACCCACGAACGACGCTTCTCGGCTGGCGTCCCAACGTCAGAAACACTGACGACCGACGCTGCTCGGCTGGCGTCCCAACGTCAGAAACACTGACGACCGACGCTGCTCGGCTGGCGTCCCCACGTCAGAAACACTGACGACCGACGCCGCTCGGCTGGCGTCCCAACATCAGAAACACTGACGACCGACGCTGCTCGGCTGGCGTCCCAACATCAGAAGCACTGACGACCGACGATGCTCGGCTGGCGTCCCAACATCAGAAACACTGACGACCGACGCTGCTCGGCTGGCGTCCCAACGTCAGAAACACTGACGACCGACGCCGCTCGGCTGGCGTCCCAACATCAGAAACACTGACGACCGACGATGTCGGCTGGCGTCCCAACGTCAGAAACACTGACGACCGGCGCTGCTCGGCTGGCGTCCCAACGTCAGAAACACTGACAACCGACGCTGCTCGGCTGGCGTCCCAACGTCAGAAACACTGACGACCGACGCTGCTCGGCTGGCGTCCCAACGTCAGAAACACCCACGAACGACGCTTCTCGGCTGGCGTCCCAACGTCAGAAACACTGACGACCGACGATGCTCGGCTGGCGTCCCAACGTCAGAAACACTGACGACCGACGCTGCTCGGCTGGCGTCCCAACATCAGAAACACTGACGACCGACGCTGCTCGGCTGGCGTCCCAACGTCAGAAACACTGACGATGCCCCGGGGTGCGGGCCGACCGCAGCACATCCATCATCTCATTGTTTGGCCAAGGGACTGTGGCAGGGTCATCACCATACCAACATGACGTCATTAGCACATAATAGAACGGTTTTGTCAGTAAGGGGGATAACGGCAAGACATCAAGACACCGCCACCACACGGTCGTGGCGAGGGTCACCACACGGCCGTGGCGAAGGTAGCCACACGGCCGTGGCGAAGGAAGCCGCACGGTCGTGGCGAAGGTAGCCGCACGGCCGTGGCGAGGGTAGCCACACGGCCGTCGGAGGGACTCCAGCTGGCAGGCCCGACTGTGACAGATGTGACAGCGTGACATTGGCATTCCACGTCAGCCCGCCCGCAATGTCACCTGGAAATCACCGTACTTTACCCCCACGAACGCTGCCGTGATGTGAGCCAGCCCCCCCATCATGACGTCATCTGGTCGCATCGCCACACGCCGGCACGGGGTGTGTGTTCAGCTGCGCGAGGACAGCGCCACACCTGACAGTAGCTCTTCCACTCGACGGGCACACCGCAGCCGGCCAGCAGCCATGGGTGTGTCAGCAGGTCGGAGACGACGATCCGGTGCTTGGGCTCCACCTGCAGCATCTGGTGCAGCAGGCGCAGCGACGCCTCCGACAGCCACTCGGGCTTCTCGTACACCCCCGCCTGTGGAGGCACACCAGCGCTGCGTGTCACCGGCACGCAGCGGCCGCAAACAGCTCCTGTGCTGCTGGGGCTGCTGCTACAAGGCCAGGTCCAGGGGAGGACAGCATGTGGCTGCGTGTAGACTGACTTCACATACATTCACATTCCGATAGAAGCTGCATGAAATGTTGAGCACCACAAAACAGAGTGCCCCGGTCCGACCAGCATCACCTGTGCGGAAGGACCATGCTGTGCGCTGAAAGCCGGCAGCCGCACCGGCAACCCCCTTAGTTCTAGAGCTTGGCTTCGCTATTAACACAACATGCATAAAACAGCCTCCATCTAGATATCATTAGAAATGCATACAGGCAGCACAACACACCCCTAACCACCTGGACCTCAATGTGTCGATCTCTCAGTGTCCTCCACCCATCCGGCCATTCTGGCATGAAGCAGCGACGTTCTACACACAGAGCTACGACCCTTCCCCCTCCACGCCAAGGCGGGCAGCGCTCTTGCGCCCACTCCGTCCCACCTGGATCTTCTTGTACAGACTGGCGATGTTCTCGTCGTCGAAGGGCAGGAAGCCGCAGAGCAGCGCGTACAGCAGTACGCCCATGCTCCAGATGTCGGCCTCGGCGCCGAGGTACTGCAGGCCGGACACCAGCTCGGGCGCCGCGTACGCCGGCGAGCCGCAGCACGTCTCCAGGTGGGCGCCCATGCCCCCCTCCGGGTTGGCGCACAGACCGAAGTCGATCAGCTTCAGTCGGTTGTCGTCGTCCAGCAGCAGGTTCTCCTGCGCGCAGGACGGCCGTGAGGTGGCCGGCGCCGCCTGTGTGGGTGTTGGGGCACTGCCGAGGCGTGCGCTCGTGCGGCACAGAGCCGAGGGGAACGCAAGCCGGCGGGGGTCACGGCCAAGTTGTACACTGTGATACCCAGAATCTGTTGGGAGAGCTGAGTGTTGAAAGCCATAGCGACAGGGGCAGTGATAACTTCGGCGGCAGTGGCGATGGCCATACTGGTTTGGTGATATGCGACAACAATCTGACGATCATGTTTGATAGCATGATCGTAACAAATGACAGTATATCACTCGGAAGAATGAAGAAAATGACGCCATATCCCATATCTATCCGTCCTGCCTTCCCATCCCGTCTCCCGCCTGTTGCCTGTGGCGTCTCTCTCACCGGCTTGAGGTCACGGTGGGCGTAGCCCTTGTGGTGGATGTAGGCCACGGCGGACACGATCTGGCGGAAGAAGACCCGAGCCTCCTCCTCCGTCAGTCGGTCCCGCTCCACTGGTGGCAGAGCCAGAGGGTGATCAGACGGCGGTACAACGTGGACGGTGGTGAACAGCGTGGACGGTGGTGAACAGCGTGGACGGTGGTGAACAGCGTGGACGGTGGTGAACAGTGTGGACGGTGGTGAACAGCGTGGACGGTGGTGAACAGTGTGGACGATGGTGGACAGCGTGGACGGTGGTGAACAGTGTGGACGGTGGTGAACAGTGTGGACGGTGGTGAACAGTGTGGACGGATGGTGAACAGTGTGGACGGTGGTGAACAGTGTGGACGATGGTGGACAGCGTGGACGGTGGTGAACAGCGTGGACGGTGGTGAACAGTGTGGACGGTGGTGAACAGCGTGGACGGTGGTGAACAGTGTGGACGGTGGTGAACAGTGTGGACGGTGGTGAACAGTGTGGACGGTGGTGAACAGTGTGGACGATGGTGAACAGCGTGGACGGTGGTGAACAGTGTGGACGGTGGTGAACAGTGTGGACGGTGGTGAACAGCGTGGACGGTGGTGAACTGGTGTGAACAGCGTGGACGGTGGTCGTGGACGGTGGTGAACAGCGTGGACGGTGGTGAACAGTGTGGACGGTGGTGAACAGTGTGGACGGTGGTGAACAGCGTGGACGATGGTGAACAGCGTGGACGGTGGTGAACAGTGTGAACGATGTTGGACAGTGTGAACGATGGTGGACAGTGTGAACGATGGTGGACAGTGTGGGTGATGGTGGACAGTGTGGACGATGGCGAAGTGTGGACGATGGTGAACGGTGTGGACGATGTTGGACGATGTTGGACAGCGTGGACGATTTTGGACAGCGTGGACGATATTGGACAGTGTGGACGATGGTCGGCAGTGTGGACGATGTTGGATAGTGTGGATGATGTTGGACAGTGTGGATGATGGTGGACAGCGTGGACGATGTTAGACAGCGTGGACGATGGTGGACGATGTTGGACAGCGTGGACGATGTTGGACAGCGTGGACGATGGTGGACAGCGTGGACGACGGTGAACAGTGTGGACGATGGTAGACAGCGTGGACGATGTTGGACAGTGCGGACGATGTTGGACAGTGTGAACGATGGTGGACAGTGTGAACGATGGTGGACAGTGTGGGTGATGGTGGACAGTGTGGACGATGGCGAAGTATGGACGATGGTGAACAGTGTGGACGATGTTGGACGATGTTGGACAGCGTGGACGATTTTGGACAGCGTGGACGATATTGGACAGTGTGGACGATGGTCGGCAGTGTGGACGATGTTGGATAGTGTGGATGATGTTGGACAGTGTGGATGATGGTGGACAGCGTGGACGATGTTAGACAGCGTGGACGATGGTGGACGATGTTGGACAGCGTGGACGATGTTGGACAGCGTGGACGATGGTGGACAGCGCGGACGATGGTGGACAGCGTGGACGATATTGGATAGTGTGAACAATGTTGGACAGTGTGGACGATGGTGGACAGTGTGAATGGCGGACAGCGTGGACGGCGATGAGGACGGCACCAAGGAGACTCCGTCTCATGGCCCTGCAGGGACGGGGTCACGTGGCAGACACGCAGGGGGGGGGGGGCTGGACTGGTCGATGAAGGGACAGCAAAAAGTGTCGGGTGGCACGCAACATGGTTTCGACAGACCAATGCACGATGGATTCCATGCTTATGCGAATTGGGCGGCAGAATGGCATACTGTAGTACCCAGGGTAGCAGGTTGTAGTAAGCAGATTTTAGATACAGTAGTAGGTAGGCAAGTAGTAGGTAGGCAAGTAGTAGGTAGGTGGAGTAGTAGGCTGGCACGCGGCAGGGTGGTAGTCTGCAGTGGGGAGGTTGTAAGTGGGGTAGTGGGCAGCAGGTTAGCGCGTGGGCATGTGGCAGGGTGGTAGGTTGCAGTGAGCAGGTTGTAAGTGCGGTAGTGGGTAGCAGGCTAGCACGTGGGCATGTGGCAGAGTAGTAGGCTGCAGTGGGCAGTTTATAAGTGGGGTAGTAGGCAGCAGGCTAGCACGTGGACACGTGGCAGGGTGGTACGTTGCAGTGAGCAAGTTGTAGTTGGGGTAGAAGCCTATCACGCGGCAGGGTAGTGAGATGCAGCACGTGCGGAGGCGCGGTGCGACACACCACGCAACAGCCGAACGGCGCGGTCGACACGCGAAAATGGCAGACGGCGCGTAGTGAGCCGACGGGAAATACACTGTCATGAGTGCGATCCAGCAGTGAAAGGCCGGATGTAAAACATGCTCTTTTCTTGGGCGGACAGTGGATAGTGTGTGGTTGTCACACACACACAGTGAGTGCCAAGAGAAGCAAAATACAAAGCATTCAGTTGCTATGTCCGGTAGTGTTTGTAATTGTTTACCGTGACATACCGAAACTATGAGAAATAGTGGCACGCTTTTGGGAAGTCATTGCCAGACAGAGTACGGCAGTCGTTAGGCGCGTACGACGACGGGTTGCCGCTACAACAGACAAACATTGGAGTGCTCGTCCCGGTTAGCAGTAGATCCGCTGTCGGTCGCGTCCCACGCACGACACGGTGACGGCCGCCGGTGGTCGCCCTCCCCGCACGACACGGTGACGGCCGCCGGTGGTTCGCCCTCCCCGCACGAGCACGGTGACGGCCGCCGGTGGTCGCCCTCCCCACACGAGACGGTGACGGCCGCCGGTGGTCGCCCTCCCAGCACGACGACGGTGACGGCCGGCCGGTGGTCGCCCCTCCCCGCACGAGCGGTGACGGCCGCCGGTGGTCCCCCTCCCCGCACGACGACGGTGACGGCCGCCGGTGGTCGCCCCTCCCCGCACGAGACGGTGACGGCCGCCGGTGGTCGCCCTCCCCCGCACGAGCACGGTGACGGCCGCCGGTGGTCCCCCTCCCCGCACGACACGGTGACGGCCGCCGGTGGTCCCCCTCCCCACACGAGACGGTGACGGCCGCCGGTGGTCGCCCTCCCCGCACGAGACGGTGACGGCCGCCGGTGGTCCCCCTCCCCGCACGAGACGGTGACGGCCGCCGGTGGTCCCCCTCCCCACACGAGACGGTGACGGCCGCCGGTGGTCCCCCTCGGCCCCTCCCCCCACACGAGACGGTGACGGCCGCCGGTGGTCGCCCTCCCCGCACGAGACGGTGACGGCTGCCGGTGGTCCCCCTCCCCGCACGAGACGGTGACGGCCGCCGGTGGTCGCCCTCCCCACACGACACGGTGACGGCTGCCGGTGGTCCCCCTCCCCGCACGAGACGGTGACGGCCGCCGGTGGTCGCCCTCCCCGCACGACACGGTGACGGCTGCCGGTGGTCGCCCTCCCCGCACGGCACGGTGACGGCCGCCGGTCGGCCGCGGCGCGCCTACCGATGTAGTCGAACAGCTCGCCGCCGCGGCAGTACTCCATGACTAGGAAGATCTTGAACTCGCAGTCGATGACCTGGTACAGCTTGCCGATGTGCTGGTGCGTAAGTTCCTTCATGGCCGCGATCTCCAGGTACACCCGGGGCAGGTCCACCTGCGCGGACGGCGCCGGCAGCCGCACCGGCAGTGTCAGCGGCAACGGCAAGAACAGCGCGGCCCTGGTGGCGTCGGCCGCTTTCGCTCGCTTATGAAGCACTGTCAGCGACATTCCCTTGAATGACGTGTCCTCTGGTGATACCGACATGGAGGTTTTATTAGAAATCTCTACCGCGGGATTTGGCAGGTGATAGCCATGGATATCGGATACCTGTATGCGACACATACCATTGTTGGATAACATGTGGTGTCACAACGCCAGAAAACATACTACAGGTTGTCGCTCAAAACGACTGTACCCAACAACAGCCATTGGAGCGTAACATCTTGCTTCATGCCATCTGAAAATGTTCGGTGTCTATGCTCGAAAAATAACGCGGCGCGATTGGCAAAACGGTACCTTTCAGCGTACCACACTGTAAAAACATACCCAATAAAAATCATGTCTCCCAAGCCCGCACGTCACCCCTTCCCCTCAGAAACACTCACCCCGAGTTGTTTCTTGTCCATGATCTTGATGGCCACTTGTTCGCCGGTGGCCAGGTGGGTGGCTCGCTTGACCTTGGCGAAGCCGCCCGAACCGATCGTCTCGTGCAGTTCGTACAGGCCATCCAGCACCGCGTATGGGGAGACGCCCTCCGGCATGGCCACCTGGCCGCGCACCAGGGGGTCAGCAGCCATCGGATAATTGGCACTGGAGAAGCTGTCAGAGATTCTGGGTTTGATGCTGGTTGTAGAGAACTTTAGGTGGCCTTTCATTCTACCAGGGAGTGGGAGGAAATGAAAATGGGTTTGGAGTGACAAACTTTCAAAACTAAGCTCAGCATTTTTGCATCAAGATGGAAGAGATCATACAACAGGAAGAGGGGTTGCGTGATCTGACATGACTGGCTTAGTATGGAACAGCATACATGGATGTAGACACTCTAGCACGGAGGGCACATCTAGCAACAGACTAAAAACAGAGGAGCACCCAGCCATGTACGCAGCATCTGTTAACAGCAAATGTAACAGCTGAAGAGGGCTCAATGTAGTGATCCCTCAACAATCTTCATCTATCTATCCGGAAAGCAAAGGCTAGTTTCTGTTCCAGCTTTTTGTTGTTTTTTTTTAAGAATAATTTATTCTGAACAGTTTGCATGGGGGTTTTGGGTTAATAGCACCTGCCAAGCATGGCCTGTCGCGAGTACCCTGAACACACCACCTCAGTAGCACCGTGGATGGTTTTGTCTCCGCCCTTTCGCCAAGCAGGAATGCAGAGGGTTTCACGAGTGGCACAATGCTGCTGCACGGCCTCTCGCGCCCTAGGCTGACCCTCTAGACCAGTCACTATCCGATCTTTCCATTTCAGTCAGGCCAAACAATATGTCTGCTCTGGGGCTGGTACCCAGTCTAGTATCTCTGGATTATGAGTCTAGCTTCTTTCCTCTAGACCACAAAAATGATGAGCAAGATCACTTGGAACCACCCACTAGGAGAGGCTGCCTCTGAACACCCAACCAATGTCACTTAATTCCCTATAAGCATGATATTCCTCTAGAACACCCAAATACAAATCTTACCAAATACAAATCTTACAAAAAAAGTTTATAATTGCATTCTGAAGGCCATGCATAGCTATTAAGATGCACCTATAAAATAAAATCCAACATTTATGGAAGACGCAGAATGTTCAGAAATACCTGACCTGGGTCTGGAAATAATGCCCTTCTGTGGAATTCCACTAACACAAGCCAACCAAATCTAAAGCTCCATATTACCTGCTTCAAAGTACATAGGTGGTGCTGAAGTGTTTTCATTTAAATGCAGTCATATATCAAAATTCAACATACCCCACCCTGGGGTGGGCTCTAGCAGCCTACACACATGAGGCTGGCATGCACACATGTCCAATCCTATGGGACATAAGCAATCAGATCATGTAACTGATCAATAAACTGAACACATGTACATGCTCAGCTGGTGCGGAATCCTGAAGTTGCACCAGTGTGTCAAAGTCTCCTCAGAAGAAGGTGCACAGATATCAAAATGCCTGCTGTTGCCAGCACCCCAGTCTGTAAAATATGTATCCGCTGTATTAGACACCTATTTAACACCACTGGGCTAAGTGCACTAAGCCTCTTTCTTGTGCACAGCAAACCAGGCCAGGTGAAATTGCACTGAATTTTCAATTATTTTGTCAAAGCTTTTTGGGGACATCACTAACTGAAATTATTTTAGCATCATTACAACTCCCTTAATTATTGGTTCTCTATGCACTGAAATTGGTGGTGACCATACACAAAATCCAAACTCTGCCTGTTACTGTGACTCCAGGCCAACATGTAAACATGTTTGGAGCATCCAGAATCAGAGGTCAAATCACAAGTCATGATGAAGATCAAAGTCATGAAAAGTTTTGACTATCCATCAATGAAATACCACATTAAGGTCACAACATTCGTGCCTAAAATAACCTGCAAAAGGTATCAACTTCCATCCCAATGTTGGACATGCAGGAAACCGACCAGCACATGACATTTGTTTCCTATGAAGCCCATCACTTAATACAGCAAACTCAGCGATTACCTGTAAAATTATTAACCACCCGAGATGTCTCAAAATTGCAGGCATTCAAAGAACGGATCTCGCTGATCATCGCAACATCATTCCCAAGGTTTCAAACAGGTTCAAACACATCAGGTTTGCAACGACGAGAAGTGCAGCTAAATGAAGCCGGTTACTTATCCTAATCAACAGAAAATATGCTACCTCAGATACCTGACGACTTGACTATGCTCAAAATAAGAAATGTGTTATCATAAAACCATGAAAGCCTGAAAATTTGCAAACACGCGTCCTCTTCCAGTTCACAACCCGCGCAAAACCACCGAACGGAACGAGCACCCCCCGTGTTTCGAGCATGCCCACAGCTGATCGATTCAAATCCGGCTCTGAAAAGGTGCTGCCATATATAGGAATGTAAGAAATATTTTGCCTCATGAACTATTTTTGTATATATGGTTTTTGAAACTCTCTGAATTACAGCAGCTTTTCCGATTTAATTATAACACAATAAAAAGCTTTTGCCCATAATATTTGTTTTACCCTTTCTTACGCGTTATCAGTCGCCAACTTTGAGAAGTCGTCAAGATTTGTGGGGTGAACAGACTTTCCTTTGTGCGGTTTGTCATGTGGTGGCACTGAAACTGCGCCAGTTTCGAAACGCGCAACGAGTAATAGACGGCTGTGCCGCGTTTGCAACTCGACAGCGATATTTTGTGCGAGCGTTGGCGGAAAGGGGGTGAGGAAAGTTACGAGACCTGTGGTAAGACCAATAATCCACGCATGGGTAACGCTGTCAATCAACTCACAAAGCGAGCAATTGCAAACAATGATGGCAATTATTAAGTCTGTCGATGGCTGATGCCCCACGGGCTTGATCGACACGTGTGGACGTGTCCGGAGTTCATGGGTATGTAGATATGTTTCATCCGCTCCTCTTGGTTTGATATCAACTGAGCACTCTTTGAGTGGATATTGTTAAGATCATTAGAAAATTTGTATCCCGACGTTTCATAGTGATTTTTGGCCAATGAGGTACATGTGCAACATGATGTGTGTGCTGACATTTTTGTTTTGAAGTATTCCTCCATCTGGACTGCATGCTTTAGCTTTATTGCTAGAAGTTTAAGCCAATGCATTCGCTGATACTTATAGCATCTGATGCCATGAGTATTGCAGCCTCAAAAATGCAAACCTAAACTGCCAAAAGTGCATGCTACTTTGATCATATCATGCAGGCAACAATTTCAGGCATCTATATCATTAATCTGAATGCTTAAAGTTTAGTGCAAGACTAACACCAATTTCTGTGCCTGTAAACCAATATTTCAAAATTTATCACATTTTGGGGGTTATTTCAGGCAAAATTACTCCAAACACTTCATTAAAAATAGACTGAAGATTCATGACAAGTTGGCCTGGCATGAGTTTGTTCCACATAAGGGTAAAGCTCAGTACAAAGTGTTGCTGGTTCAGTGGATTGATTTTTTTCAAACTGGCCTGGAACCAGAGCCATCAAGAGATCATGGTTGTGATCATGGTTCAGGAGATCCTTTTTGTAACATAGTGGTACTCTCATTTTATCATTTAAACTGAGAAATTGGGTTGAGGTCATTGGTTTTGCTTATCTAGTTTATTACTGTATTAGTTATTCAATCATTTCAGTGATGCTCCAGCACCTTCAACTTTATGAAGAATGTGTATCAAATTCAGTGAGGAACACACCTGATACAGTTTGTGGTTGGGTTTAACCATTTTTCCCTGCTCTCCCTCCTCCTGTAACCTATGTTGTCAAGCTACATTCCTGCTTCTATCTATGTTTAAATTGACTGAAAATATATGTGTTTCAATCAGGTCTCTTATTGCTCCATCTAGCTTCTCCATATGTCCTCCTATTGCTCATCATCATTCATCTGGCTAATATTTAGTGTACTGAGTCTTTCTTTGAAGGATGTGTTTGGTTTCTTTGACCAGTTTGGTTGCTCCCCTCAGGACTTATTCAATGGTTCATAAATTCTGTCATACAGGGTCTGATTGCCTCAATCCAAGAGTCAACTTAAGGCCTCACATGGGTGGTATAGCACACTGAATTTAAACACCTCAACATTTACATGCAGCATTTAAATTTGTTTTCATCACTTGGTTCCTAAATAGTGTAGATTTGTTTGACATATTATCTTAAGAAACTAAGCATGCTAATCTGTCTTGAGGTAAGTTTTTAGTGATCAAGCTGAAATCTCAGGGACATATTTTCTTGTTATGGGAGGCAAAGGTTTCCCAAATCTTGTCAGCTGCCTACAACCTTATTAATATCATCATGAAGCTATATGTATTTTAGTGTGTCATATGGTAGCATATCAATAGTTGTGAGGCCTGCAAAGCACCTGATGGAATACAACAATTTATATTATTACAAGGTGTTGGCACCCTGTATACCTCTGTGGTTCTCATTAATTAGCCCATTGTTTAAAACAAATAGTGTAACTAAGTGAAATCACTCCATTAATTGCTGTGTGTACCTGCTTGTGAAGTCTCCTAGCTGGCTTCCTTTTACTTACAGTACCCTCTGTTACCCATAGGTGGCAGTAAGAGTCGCGATGCCTTCGCCTCCACGGCGCCGCTCTGTTCGGCTGCTCTTGTTCGACAACCCTAGCTTCTCTTCCACCATTGTCACAGGTCACGTGCCACGCGCTCGCGTGCGGCGCGATGCCTTCGGCCGCTATTTTGAGTCACCGGCCGCAGCGGCCAACACTGCACATTCTGTGGCTGTGAAAGAAGCTTCCGATGGGGAAGCGGGAGGTGCAGGCGTACAGTCACACGATAGCTTTGGATATGCCAGGGTTAGGCTGTCGCGATGCGATGACAGCACAGGAGTTTCTGCGGAGCGGGAGCGCCTAGTGGTGACTTCCAGTTCCGCGCACGTGCAAAACACACCGGTGACCTTCGTTGAGGATGTCGACGGCGCCGGCGCGCAGCGGAAACTGTTATCTGGGATCTCAGTGGTGGAACAAACGGAATGTGGCGACACGGCGGCGCGTTCCGCGGACGCCGGCGGGTCGACTGCTAAGACCCCCATCCGGTCAGCGTCGGCAGCACCGGTCCGGAGCAGCTTCAGCTCCAGCGACAGTGACGACGCTGTGTGCCAGACCCGTCAGTGTAGCATGCGGCGCAGCTCCAGCGAGATGAGTCTGATGTTGGAGCTGGAACCGGAAGGCTCGCCGTTCGGCCCGGCGGAGGCGCCGGGCGCGGCTCACGCAGAGATCTGGGCCAATCGGGCCAGCGCGCCGTCCGGGGTCGCGCGGGCGGCAGCCGCGGCCGCCGACGCCGTCATCTCGGCCAGGGGCGAGGGGTCGGCGCCGGCGGAAGCGGGCCGCGTCACACCCTCGACCGTGGACAGCGACGACGACATATCGTCGGAGCTGCGTGGACAGATCAGCGAAGTCATTACGCTGCTGCGGGGCAATTCGGACATTAGCGCCTCTGGTGCCGTGGTGCAAAACCAGGCTTCGCCTGCCGCGGACCGCGTGCTGGTACTTGGGGGAGTAGGATTGAAGGCGCGAATGGAGGCGAGCGGATCGGAGGACGAAATAAATGGTGTGGCATCACGTAGCCTATCACCGGCGCGCGTTGCGGCCGACGAGTCCGGCCCCGCGCACGTGCGCCACGTGGTGGGCCGGCGCGTGGTGTCCGAGCTGGCGGAGCTGGCTGCCTCTCCTGGCTCACCGCTGCTCCGCCGCACCGACGGCAGACGGCGCGCGGCCCGCGGCGCCTTCTCCGCGCCCAAGGTGCAGGGCCAGGTGGGCTCAAAGTCGCTGCCGACCCATGGTGTGGTTGGTGCGCCAAGGGGGCGGGATCAGACGAGTTCAGTGTCGCTGCTGGCCAATGGTGTGGTGGGTACGCCAAAGGGGCAGGACCAGGGGATTTCAAGGTCGCCGCTGGCCAATGGCGTGGCGGGGACGCCTCGAGGTCAGCCGGTGGCCCCGACCGGGACGTCGCAGTCGACGACTCCGGAGACCTGTGCCAGGACGCTGGGCTGGCTCCCGTGGTCGCCTCGCCACCGGCTCTGGAAGCAGCGTCGCTACGCCAAATCAGCTCCTGACGCGGAGGCTTCCGACGGCGAAGCCATCGCGTCGGCGGAACAGGTGCCGACTCGGAATACGGACTCTGGGGAGCCCGCAGCCACTACGGGCCGCAGGGAGCCGGCACTGGCCGCCGCCACACAGACTCCTCCCACCGCCCAAACAGTGCCGCCATTGGTCGCAGCGGGAGCATGTGATGCCAAGAGACATCTCACAGCGGCGGCTGGAGGTTGTGGTTCACCGGGCGGCGCCGGCGTCGCTGGCCGGGAGGAGGAGGATGAGGACATTGCGTGCACACAGCCTGTGACTGGTCTGGTGCTTGATGGCGTGGTGGCCTTCGTGGACGTCCGCTCCGGTGCCGACAATAGGTGAGGCTTGGGTAAACCACCCCTCCATCACGTAGGTATGCATATTAGGTACATATCCTTATTTGACATTAGCCTCCCATGTCCGACCATTGATGTGTGTTTCCTTGCTGCTTAGTGTGTTCCATTTCAGTTTTGTGATTTTTGATCACGTGACTGATTTCCAAATGACATTGGAGTGTTTAATTTCCGCCGTTCATAAAGTTGCATTGCTGTTATAGAGGTGTGTGTGTGTGTGTGTGTGTGTGTGTGTGTGTGTGTGTGTGTGTGTGTGTGTGTGTGTGTGTGTGTGTGTGTGTGTGTGTGTGTGTGCGTGCGTGCGTGCGTGCGTGCGTGCGTGCGTGCGTGCGTGCGTACGTATGTACGTATGTACGTGTGTCCGCGCGTGCGTGCGTGCGCGCGCGCGCGCGCGCGGCGCGTGTGTGTGTGTGTGTGTGTGTGTGTGTGTGTGCGTATGTGTGTGTGTGTACGTGCGTGTGTGTGTGTGCGTGTGTATGTGTGTGTGTGTGTGTGTGTGTGTGTGTGTGTGTGTGTGTGTGTGTGTGTGTGTGTGTGTGTGTGTGTGTGTGTGTGCGTGCGTGCGTGCGTGCGTGCGTGTATTGCCAAAAAAGAACGCACCGGAGTCTCCATGATCTGGGGCGATCACTCCCTTGTGAGTTGGACAGGTGATAATGTCTTAGATATCAAGCCACATTGAATGTCAGTTCTGCTGTCAGGTTTTCTCCGAGCGCGATGCCGTCTGGGTCCGTGTGTTGCTCCCTGTACAAGCTGTGAAATCCATCAAGGCTTTGCGTATACCGAGCCACTGCCACAAATGTCTCACCATCAATTGGTGGTCTGCTGTTTTGCACGTTTATATCACTGCAGCACTTGCCATCATAACACTGTTCAGTATATCATTCCTCCAAAATAAATGGTAGGCCCGCCGTGTCGCTGCTTCAGCTGTCACGCAGGACGGTACTAGTCCAGCATGGGCCCACCAGGCGGCTGTGTCAGCCGCGCTCCCGCCAGGCGGCGGCAGTGTGCCGGGCGGTGCGCCGGTCGGTGACCTCTCGCCGCTGCCTGACCTCGCCGCTGCGCCGTCAGGTCGGAGCCGGTGCGGGCGCAGCTGCGCACTCTGGGCGCCACCGTCACCGACCGCCTCACCAAACAGGTCACCCACGTGGTGTTCAAGGTGAGGCGTCGGCGGGGCGAGCCCATTGGTGCGTCTCTCAGCCCCTGTCCCCGGCAACAGCGGGCAACCGTCTGCCGTCTGTCCGACACTCGTCTGGCTGACACCCGCCTGACACCGTCTGCGGTCTGCCTGACACCCGTCTGCCGTCTGTCCGACACCCGTCTGGCTGACACCCGTTTGCCGTCTGCGTGACACCCGTCTGCCGTCTTTCCGACACCCATCTGCCGTCTTTCCGGCACCCGTCTGCCGTCTTTCCGACACCCGTCTGGCTGACACTCGTCTGGCTGACACCCGTCTGCCTGACACCGTCTGCGGTCTGCCTGACACCCGTCTGCCGTCTGTCCGACGCCCGTCTGGCTGACACCCGTTTGCCGTCTGCCTGGCACCAGTCTGCCGTTTGGCTGACACCCGTCTGGCTGACGGCGGTCCGTGCCGTGCCCGCAGGACGGCTCGAAGGCGACGTTTGACCGGGCTCGCCGGGACCGGCTGAGACTGGTGTCCGCCCTCTGGGTGGACGCCTGCAGACAGCGCTCCGAGCACGTGGACGAGGGCCTCTACCCGCCGGCGGCCGCCGACAGGTCAGCCTGTCCCATCCTGCCCACCTCCCCCCCCCCCCCACAAACGCAGACTGAGGAGGCCGTCACGTGGTCACTAAAGTGCCTTCCCCTTGCATGTGGCTGTTTCGGCGGGGTGTGGCTCATGATTGTGGGCTCCAACTGTAATTTTGTTCCGTGTGGCCTCTTTGAATGATACTTCATAATCCAGATTGAAACGAACTTTTGGGGAGGACGTGAAGCGACACTGCGTGGAGCATTCTTCACTAGACATTGTCTGGTGGCGTAACAATACGAAGCGGATAGGGTAATTTGCGCGAGTAGTAACCATGAGTCCAATGCTTCTGTCGTCTGTGTCGATCTGTGCTCGAGTGCTCAATTTGAACCCTCCGTAAATTTTGAAAAGCGGATAGGGTAATTTGTGCGCGTAGTAACCACGAGTCATTTGAAGCGGATAGGGCAACTTGTGCGCGTAGTAACCATGGGCTCAATGCTTCTCAATCTGTGCTCGAGTGCTTAATTTGAACCATCCGTAAATTTTGAAAATATTGGAGCTGCGGGGTATCGATCCCCGTACCTCTCACATGCTAAGCGAGCGCTCTACCACTTGAGCTACAGCCCCCGGTGGTCGGAAGGAATTGTTGGCTCAGGCGTCGCACGCGTCGGAACGTGACCCAGATTCGTCTCACGGAACCACACCCATGATTCTGTGCCCATCTGGCCCACTCATGGTCTTACCATCACTTTCTATTCGAGCGTGGGGCGGCGGTGTGGCAAGGTGTTTCCGTGGTGTAGTGGTTATCACATCCGCCTAACACGCGGAAGGTCCCCGGTTCGATCCCGGGCGGAAACACGCGTTTTCTGCTTCGTTTGCAGATGCCAGATGCACGATCGTTAGTGTCGTATGGAATATACGGGGGATAGGAGTGGACGTAGAAAATGATGGATTTCGAGTTGTGGCAGTCGTGGCAGTCGCTAAGCTTACAGGGTCTCGGTAGGATTTATGTATTTGAGTAGCGTGAGCGTGCTGCCCGTTTTGTGGTTAAAGGTGTGGCGAATTTGGAGATGGGGCAACATAATTTATTGCTGTATATTGTGATGTCTCATTTTGTTCAAGTGGGAGGGACCTCAGTTCCCGGTGTTCCGCATTTTAAGTTTTGTGTGCTCAAAGTAGCTGTCCTTAAATATGTCATGAGGCAAAGGTTAAATGTCACCAAGCATTCGTCCATACATATTACGAAAGCTCTCAACAACAGCTCTCAACTCTCAACAAAGCTCTCAACAACAACAAAGCAGTGCTCGTATTCGTGAGTGTACAGTTCTAAACGAAGCCAAGATTCAGATACCTAAGGAACGTACCCAAATGCCTAAGACAGGCAGAATGTGTCCAAATCTGTGCGCACCGCCAACAAAGCCTGTCATGGCCGCCGTATTATAGCCGGCCCCGCGCTCAGGCCCGCCCGAGCCACACATGGGACATGCTCCAGACCATGCCACATAGCTCCCTGCACTGTGACGTAGCACATCGACACGTTTCTCACTCTTTAGGTAGATGTCTGTGTGTTTTGATGTCAGAGCTCATTAGCTGAGACCAGGCGGGACTATGACGGACAGTGGCAGCACTGTACATCTCGGCTCGCAGCGGTCAGCCAGGACTGGCTATGACTGTCGAGCCTACGGCGGCAAGGACGCTGGGCGAGGGCAGCGGCGGCCGTGGCCGTGCAGCAGTGAGCACGGTGTGAGAATGGGCAGGGACACCTGCGGCAGGGATGTGTCCTGAGGAGGAGCTGGTGTCTGTCCGGCGGTGTGAGAATGGGCAGCGACACCTGCGGCAGGGATGTGTCCTGAGGAGGAGCTGGTGTCTGTCCGGCGGTGTGGGAATGGGCAGCGACACCTGCGCCAGAGGTGTGTCCTGAGGAGGAGCTGGTGTCTGTCCGGCGGTGTGAGAATGGGCAGCGACACCTGCGCCAGGGGTGTCCTGAGGAGGAGCTGGTGTCTGTCCGGCGTGTGGGAATGGGCAGCGACACCTGCGCCAGAGGTGTGTCCTGAGGAGGAGCTGGTGTCTGTCCGGCGGTGTGAGAATGGGCAGCGACACCTGCGCCAGGGGTGTGTCCTGAGGAGGAGCTGGTGTCTGTCCGGCGGTGTGGGAATGGGCAGCGACACCTGCGGCAGGGATGTGTCCTGAGGAGGAGCTGGTGTCTGTCCGGCGGTGTGGAATGGGCAGCGACACCTGCGCCGAGGTGTGTCCTGAGGAGGAGCTGGTGTCTGTCCGGCGGTGTGAGAATGGGCAGCGACACCTGCGCCAGGTGTGCCCTGAGCAGCCGGCGGTGTGGGAATGGGCAGCGACACCTGCGCCAGAGGTGTGTCCTGAGCAGCCGGCGTCTGTCCGGCGGTGTGCTGGCGCCACCGCAGCCGGCTTCGCTGGCGCCCCACCCGTCTAGCGCCGCCCCCGCTGCCGCTGCAGGTACGAGTCGCCGTTGTTCCCGGCCCGGCTGCGCAAGCTGCGTTCCATGCAGCCCCGCGACTTCGAGGAGGAGATGGCGGCGGCCGACCGGCGCTTCCAGCGGCGGCGGCGGCAGCGGCAGCGGCGCCGGCCGCCGGCCGCCAGCCCGCCCTGTCAGGTGCTGCTTCTGCTGCCCCCCCCCCCCCCCACCCTCCCCCTCAGGTGTGGGGCGAGCGTCTCGGGGTCTGCGGTGTCTTTGTTCACGTCGTGAGGATTGGCCCGCTTTAGTGCCCCCCCCCCCCCTCTCCCACTGCCGTTTTCTTTCACTCCTGCTGTTTTCACTGCTCTGTGGTAGCGTAAATGCTAACCTCCAACTCGCTGCAACAAGGTGTCTCAAGTAACGATGCATTGCGTTATTGGGCCCAAAGTACAGGTGGTGAAAGGTTCTGGTCACAGCAGCCGGCGGCCGATCTGTAGTCTGGGCCCCGCCTTGCACGCTTACCGACCCGTACGTGACCTATACATGACCTGTTGTGGTCGCTGTCTGACCTGTCTCATGTACATGACGTGCTGTGATCACTGTCTGACCTGTCTCCTGTACATGACCTGTTTGATTGCTCTCTGACCTGTCTCCTGTACATGACCTGTTGTGATCGCTGTCTGACCTGTCTCCTGTACATGACCTGTTGTGATCGCTGTCTGACCTGTCTCATGTACATGACCTGTTGTGATCGCTGTCTGACCTGTCTCCTGTACATGACCTGTTGTGATCACTGTCTGACCTGTCTCCTGTACATGACCTGTTGTGATCGCTGTCTGACCTGTCTCCTGTACATGACCTTTTGTGGTTGCTGTCTGGCCTGTCTCCTGTACATGACCTGTTGTGATCGCTGTCTGACCTGTCTCATGTACATGACCTGTTGTGATCACTGTCTGACCTGTCTCCTGTACATGACCTGTTTGATTGCTGTCTGACCTGTCTCCTTCTTCCTGTCAGGTATGATTGATCTGTGCCTGTCCCTGTGTTAGCTGCTCAGCATTTGTGTATGCATCGTTGTGGGCTGCGTTTGACCTGTGCGTAACCTTACGTGACCTGTGCGTGACCCCGTCTCACCGTCAGCTCTGTTTGACCTGTGGACGATCCTATGTTGGGTTCTCGGCACCCGCGCGCTATCCTCCCGTATGCCGCCTGGGACCCGATCCCCCGTGACCTATGCCTGACCGGGCGTGACCTGTACCTGACCCGGTGTGACCTGTGGATGACCCGGTGTGTGGGCTGCCCGTGACAGCAGCGGCCGGCGGGGGCATCGCCGGGCCGGTGGTGCCGGCGCCGCGGCGTGGAGGCGCTGCTGACGCCGCGCGCGCCCCGGCTCAGGTCAGAGAGCCACGAGTCCGACGATGACCTGCCCCTCAGCGTCCGGCTGTTCAACAGGTGAGGCGGCGGCAGCGGGCACGGCCACGGCCGCGGCCACGGCCACGGCCTGGCGCGCAGCGTGCCGTCATGGCGCGAGCTTGTGTAGATTACTGGTGCGGAAGGCTGCCCCCCCCCCCCCCGTACTTACTGGTGCGGAGGGCCGCCCCTCCAGGACTTACTGGTGCGGAGGGCTGCCCATCCAGGACTTGCTGGTGCGGAGGGCTGCCCGTCCAGTACTTACTGGTGCGGAGGGCTGTCCCTCCAGTAGTTACTGGTGCGGAGGGCTGCCCCTCTAGGACTTGTCTCGTTTCAGGTGAGACGTTATCCACCCAAAAACTAGGCAAAACTCAGCGGCTGGCAATAGGCTTGCCATGCTACATGACAGGACCGTCTGTCTGCGGGCTGCCGTTGGCCTGTGTACGCGCGTGCCCTGCCCCGCGGGCGCGTCTGTGAGCCGGGTGTGTGACGCTGCCTGTGCCGGCAGGTTCATGTCGCCGGCCGGCGGCTGGTCCACGTCAGCGGTGCGACGCCGGCCGCCGGGCCCCGCCTGCTCCTCCGCCCAGCGGGGTCCGGCCAAGGTGACGTACCGCCGCTGCCGCCGCCGCCGCTGCTGAGACGGGTCCATGTGAACCATGGCCGCATCGGATTGGAATGCTTGCTTGTCGCTTGGAGTGGTCACAGACGTTCGTTACTTCCAGGTTCTTAAATTAGGAAGCTGAAGAGCAGTTTCAGGGAACCGATTTGGGGAGCAATCTCGATAAGGAAACCATTTTGGCATCTGTGATTTAGGGCATGGCGTTGTGTCAGTATTGCTGACTGCGGTGCATTTGTTATGGGTTATTGACCGAAGAGGAGAGTGTTAAGCAAAATGAATGGTGTGCGATAAGTTGCGTGGCATTTGAAGCTGCCAGATTCGTAGTGCGGCATATATTCTGTCATTATTTCATAACCTTCGTCGTTTTACCTCCGACCTTCATGACCTTTGTCGTCGGTCGCTTTTTGCATAGGTTAGGTGCTAGTTCCAGATAGGGTTTGGGAGATTAAGAGCGAATGTTGTGCTAATTAGACTTATCAGTCATTACACTTAAAATCATGTTTACTAGTTGCGATCATGAATTCCACGGCTGCAGAAAGAAGAACACTTACCTGAATACTGACCTGATGTGACCTTGGCCGGCATCCTCTTCAGTGACGTCACTTTGTGCAGCACTGCACCGCTCCCAGCGGCTCTGCCATGGTTGTAATATGCTCATGTCGAGCTGGTCTGCGATTCGCGCAGGATCCCATCCACAGTATCAAAACAGCGCCTTAGCAGCTTGAGCGTTATCTTTACGAAGAGCGAGAAGCCAAGAGCCAAATCCGACGAGCATGACGCGTGGAGACAGACGGTGGTGCTGGTGCAGCGCACAGCCTGCGCGTGGTCAGCTGGCTGTAGGCGGGTACGTTGCCATGTTGGAGCCCCCACCTGCCGTCGCGCCTCGTGTCAGGTGGCTCGTGCCGAATAGTCTCACTCAGACGCCTCAGAACGGCGCAGCAGAGCTCGGCATCAGCGGTCTGACGTAGGAGACGCCTCAGAATGGCGCAGCAGAACTCGCCATCGGCGGACTGACGCAGGGGACGCCTCAGAATGGCGCAGCGGAGCTCGGCATCGGCAGCCTGACGTAGGAGACGCCTCAGAATGGTGCAGCGGAACTCGCCATCGGCGGACTGACGTAGGAGACGCCTCAGAATGGTGCAGCGGAACTCGCATCAGCGGCTCGACGCAGGAGACGCGTGAACGGCGCACTACCCCGCGAATGGAAAACAAAAACGACAAGCATGCTCTTGGTCGCGCGCCTGGCGTGCCTGTCTCGGGGAGGACCTCAAGGGCCTGGCGCTCCAGCACGCCGACGCGACTGTAAGGATGCGTTGGAAATGCCTGGGTATTTGAGCGGTGCCAACACAATGGCCGCTTCTATCCCACAGCTCGTCGGACTTAGCTCCCTACCGCTTCTTGCCCTTCTCCATGATAAAGTTTAAACGGCAATCCTTTAGGAAACTGGATGGAACTTCCCTTTTCGGGGTTGGGGAGGGGGACGAATCCATGGACCTTGCCTATCCCATTTCCCAATTTCGCAAAAACATTTCTCCACAGATTTGTGCTACCTCGCTCGGTGACTGGAACTTGGACCCTGTTGTGTGGTTAGTACATTTCGCATGGTCGATATTTCTAATATTTAAAGCAAAAGGCGTCTAAATGAAAGTGGAATTTCGGTTTGTAGATTGTGGACCTTTCGACTGATATTGGTGTGCTGGCATGGTGAAAATGGCATGCATACCTACGTTTACGAACTTTTCGGGTACGCCCCACACAAGACGCATGCACGGTTGATTCTGGGCGGTGTTATTTGCAGGGCACTGGAATTTTGTGCAGTATTTCAGCGATAACAAGTTGTAGGACAGCAAATGGGCGTTCGCGTCTTCGCTATGTTTCTTTAGACTTATCACAGCTTCAGAAAGTATGATATGAAATCGGAGGCGCCGTCCCTGACGCTCTCCGATTTACTATGTGACAGCTCACCATATATCGGCCCCACCCTCAGGTTCGTATCGCATGTTGAGTTCTGCACTTTATATACGCCTGTCTGAATAGTTCATACCGCGTGTAGGAAGTCTTAAGGCTGCCGAAAATTTCTCATCAACATGATGGGGCATCATTGGTGGCGCGTTCTTGTCACGACTCAGCCGTTTTCATTTCTAACTAATGTATATTTTTTAGCCATTTCCCCTCGTGGGTAGTCATTTAGCTGTTATGGGCGCAACATGACCACAGAAGTCGGCGCGCCATAAAACGCCAATCAACAACAATAACAACAACGCGACATGAAGTCACTTTTGTCATCCTGTTTTGGTTCAAAGACAGATATTTTGCCGGAGAAAAACCAGCTTCTGCTTGGCCACAACACTTCGCCGTCGTAGTGAGCGCCATACATAACTTCAGCTGGTGCCGCTCCGCGGCCGCCCCAGAAGGCGGCGGGAGCTCAGCGAGGCCGCCCCAGGAGGCTGCGGGGGCCCAGCGAGGCCGCCCCAGGAGGCGGCGGGAGCTCAGCGAGGCCGCCCCAGGAGGCTGCGGGAGCTCAGCGAGGCCGCCCCAGGAGGCTGCGGGAGCTCAGCGAGGCCGCCCCAGGAGGCTGCGGGAGCTCAGCGAGGCCGCCCCAGAAGGCGGCGGGAGCTCAGCGAGGCCGCCCCAGGAGGCGGCGGGAGCTCAGCGAGGCCGCCCCAGGAGGCGGCGGGAGCTCAGCGAGGCCGCCCCAGGAGGCGGCGGGGGCTCAGCGAGGCCGCCCCAGGAGGCTGCGGGGGCCCAGTGATTTTAAGTGACTGTTGGATTCCTCCCGGCAGTACCAGCCACTGGAGCTGAAGAGTACACTTCGCGGGGTGGTGTGCTGGCAGTGCTCCAAGACTAAGAAAAGAAATACTGATTATCTGGTCCATCTGCTTGTAATCAAATAGTGCCCTACAGACAGGGGCGGATCCAGAGCGGGGGGGGCGGGGGACTTGGGGCCATGCTCCAGCTCCAGCTCCAGCTCCAGCTCAACATCGGGGCTCCCTCATGAGATACAAAGCTCCACCCAGGCCAGGAGGTTTTGGGAAACGATGATCGTGAGCAATCGCTAAGATATATTATGATAATACTCACGTTTCAAGGTAATGCCTTGTCCGAATCTGTGCAGACTGCTTATGAGGACAAAACATGATAATCAGTCGCAGATCCTGACACCGGGCCACCCACCACCGAATTAATTACCACGTGAATTTTACGTAGCGTCATGCCGTGACTTTAATTTCTGTTGTTTGGCGGTAAGCAGTGAGTCTTTTCTAATGGCACTTTGGCTTTAGAAGACATCGTTGACCTGAATGATCTGATCTGATCTGATCTGATCACTTCGTTGCAAGGCTATGTGAACAAAACTAGAACATACCATCGACATACCACGTGGTCTAGTGATGCACTTCTTCAAACTTTCACCAATGTACTCGCTAAACTTTTCACGCTGCTTGCTCAGCCAATCACATACGTTCATTTCCAGTGGCATTATTGGTACCGATAAATGTCGGGAGTCATCCTGGTCGCCCCACTTCAGGGTTGCCAGGGGCCTGACTGTTGGTATTGGCCGGGGACGTCTTCTTCAGGGTTGCCAGGGGCCTGACTGTTGGCATTGGCCGGGGACGTCTTCTTCAGGGTTGCCAGGGGCCTGACTGTTGGCATTGGCTGGGGACGTCCTCTCCAGCGTGCCAGTTGGAAGCTAGATGAGCGTACATTCCCAGCCCGAAGTCGTGTTGGGGGCAGGGGGTGTAAGTCGCGTGACATACATCCCCGCCAGCGCTGTCGCGGTCGCTACGATGAATGTTTCACTTGAATGTCGGTGAGTTTTGGGGTTTTATTATTATTTTGTACGTGCTTTATAAATATTTTTCATAACCTTAAACCTATGCAGACAAATTACGTTAAACATGTTAGCAGTGTAATCTATACACAACCTTGTGTGCCTAGTGCTGATGATGGGACTGAGACGGCCATAACAGAAGCCCCTGAACTGTGTGATGGTGTGAGTACCAAATTATGTCCTAAAGAAAATGATGCAGAGTTCCAAGATCAAATGGACCACTCACCCAAATGTACCAGAAATTTCACCATTGTACCACATATAAGTAAACCATAGGCTAAGTCTCCTGAAATTTCCTACATCATCTGATGACTTTGCACTGATCAGAGACAAGAAATACTGGACATTTCAGATCGCGGGAAGTCTCCTCATTTGGTAACACTGTGTACGAACACAAACAACGTCCAGCCCCAAGAGAGGAGACATTTTGTGTGACACTGCCGCTTGCACTGGACATTGGGAGCATTGGGGGACTCGAGCCCCCACATTTGGGGAAGTTTGGGGCGAGGGTTACAGCGCTGCATGGAAAGAAACGAATAAGTGTGCTTTTGAGCCATCTCGGCTCACCAATCCCGGAAAACTCCGCCCTCCGGGCTTCGACCAAAGGACCCGTGTCTTGTACTCAAGGTCGGTTTGAGAGGGGCGATACTGGTCGGTCCCGGCCCATTACTGGCCAATGTCACGCTTTTGACCACCGATCAGACACTGACACGACACTGGGCGCTATATGACCACGCGGTGGACGCGCCCGAAAACCCCAATTCGGAGCGAGTGGGGTGAGTTGTATCATGTCCCGAAAGTATCAGGGTGATTTGCTTAAAGTATGCGACGGCTTCTGGTCTTGAGTCACCCGGCTGACGCACAGCAGCGCCCTGTATATTCCAGTGTACCTC